TGTGTTTTGTTCAAAGCTCTCTCATTTTTCGTCCAATTTTTGATCTCCTTAGGTTATTTGCATGGTATGAATGGTATAGCATAAGGGTTCTACTACTACTTTTAATTAATTTTTTTTTCAGGTCAATTCTGTGAAAACTAATCATGATTCTTCAGTGTAAATTTTGAAAAATAGTTTTACATTGGGTGAATCTTTGGTATACAAAATTTGAAAATGATATTAAGTAATTTGCCTCTTCGTATTTCCATTCAAAATCTTCCAAAAGCTCTAGAAAGAACAAAAATTGGACGTTTTAAGAGGGTGTCCTTAAACTTATGATCGGGAGTGTACGGTTTTATAAATTTCTCCATTCAACTGAGCAAAAGTGCCTCACTCTCTGAGTTAGTCTCGTTGTCCGTGCACACGTAAATACAAGGATTTACCCTTCGATAAGACATTTTGAATATAGCCTTAATGAAGGGAGTCTCTAAACATTCATTTGGTGGAAGTTTCAGCGGTATTGTTCTTTAAGATAATGTTTTCCATCTGAGATACGTGTTACCACTAATTTATCATAGGCATACAAGTGGAACGACTCACCCTAATTAACGAATCCACAAATCTTCATGAAAATCTTCACCAGTAAAAGAAATCCAGAATATATTTGTCTTATCCCACTTTGGCTGATGTAAATTGTATTTTATTTTATGATATTTGATATGCGAGAATTGCCCGCCAAGTTTTGAGAAATTTCTGAACTACTGTTCATCAGCTAAAAGATCTGTATCTCCTTAACAGGTTTGCCAAATACAGTACATTTCTAGCTGTTCAGGTTCTCGAGACATTATAACTTGCGAAGATTTCACGTATATCCTAGCACCACGTAGTGAGAAAATTCTTTACTGTCGACCAACGAAAAAGTTTTGACAACTTTGCCGATCACAGTTTAGCAGGTCTCGAAATATATCTAATGTGAGAATTGCACTTGTATACAAGCGCAATGATGTGAAAAAAAAAATGAATTTCTGTCCACCAGCCAAATGGCCTTGGCTCCCTGAACAACTTTGCCGAAGACAGCAACATTCTATTTGGTCAGAATCTCGTGATATTTTATACGTGAAAGTTTCACGCCGCATAGGAAATTCCCAACTATTGTACACCAAGCAATAGGCTTTAACCTCCTGAACAACTTTGTCCAATACAGTAACTTTCAATCTAGTCAGGATCTCGAAACAAACCACATGCAAAAATTTCACGTGTATTCCAGCGCTACATAGTGAGAAAATTTTGAACTACTGTCCACTAGCGAAATCTAGCTGATCAGAATCACAAGATATTTTACATGCAAGAATTTCTCGTGTATACTAACGCCACGTAGTGTGAAAATTCTGAACTATTGTGCACCAAGCAATAGACATTGACCTCATGAACAACTTTTTCCAAGACAGTAATTGTCTACCTGTTCAGAATCTCGAGCTATGGCATACGCGAGAATTGTACACGTTTACTAGCGCCACGTGATGAAAAAATTCTGGGCTACTGTCCACCAGCCAAATAGTCTTTAGGCCCTGATCAAGTTTGCAGAAAACAGTAGCTTTCTCTCTGCTCAGGATCTCAAGCTATTGTATATGCGAGAATTGCATGTGTATACTAGCACCTAGTAGTGAAAAAAATTCTGAACAACTGTTCACCAACGAAAAGATCTTGACTTCCTGAACAACTTTGCCAAAGACATTTACTCTCTATCTGGTCAGGATCTAGTGATGTATCACATGCGAGAACATAACATGTATACGAGCACTATCTAGTGCGAAGATTCTGAACTACTGTTCACCAGCAAAAAGGCTATGATCTCCTGAACAGCTGTGCCTGATCCAGTAACTTCCTATCTGCTCAGGATCTCGAGCTATTGTACATGTAAACATTGCAAGTATATACTAGCGCCACGTAGTGAGATTTTCTGAACTACTCCATCAACGAAAAACTTTGCCGAAGACAATTTGACTGTTTGGTCAGAATCTCGAGATATTTTATATGAGAATTTAACGTGTATACTAGCGCCGCGTATTGAGAAAATGTTGAACTATTGTGCACCAAGAAATAGGCTTTGATCTCATCAACAACTTTGTCGACGACAGTAACTTTCTAGCTGGACATGATCATCTCGAGATATATCACATGCGATAGTTTCACATGTATTCTAGCGCTACGTAGTGAGAAAATTCTGAACTACTCTCCACCAGCAAAAAGATTATGATCTCCTGAACAACTTTGCCCAAGACAGTAACTTTCTACCTGGTCAGGATCTCGACATTTTCCATGTTGTAACCAATTAAGTAAAATCCCACGTAGAACGGACACCGTTTACGCAGTTTCTATTCACATTTTCTCTATTATCCGAATTATTTGGGGGTTAACTGTGATAAAAGTTTAGCTTGTTTAGTTAAAAACAAGTTTTTTTTTAAGGAATACCCGTTGGTTTCACACCGATTGGTAGCTCGGCTGCAAAATGGCAATGGTAAACTCACACTGTTTTACAAAGTACAACGCGCGAGTACTCCTGTTTCAAAAGTTGGCGGAGGGTTAACAAAAAAGATTGTTTCAAAAATCAAAGGAATTTGATGGAATCATCTTAATTTTACAGAAAATAGATCTTAATAAATAAATTCATACCAATGCACACTGGAGATCATTTCGGATCTCTAATTTAGCCATTATTTTATTGAAATTTCTTGGATTTAATTCCAAGGCTAATGGCGTTTTCATAATGACAATATGGCGACAGAGGACAGCAGGCAAGAAAACCCACTTTTGACAAGCTGCAACTGAATGTTCATAATTATTTTAAAACAACTGTTTGATGGCCAACTAGTTTTATTGCACTAATATATACAGCAATATAAGGATTTTTTTTGGGTTTATAAGGGCAATTAATATTGTTTTTTTTTTTTATATTTCAAGGCAATCATAAAACCTATCATAAGTGAAAATAGCATAAGCATCAGTTGGTTTTTAATAAGATTTATAGGGGTTTTGTAGATAGCTATAAGAATGTTCCACGACTTGCATTGTATATGACCGTCATAAAACTGTTGGTTATGGTTGCAGCTGCAATAAAACCTTTATAAATTTTGAATATAGCTAAGCAGCTCTAGATTTGTTATTTGGGTTATGCATTTGGTACGATACTTTAGTTCAAAAACTACCGAACTAAGTCAATACGAACATGTGTCAAACACCCATAATTCTTAAAAACAAAAACAGATTTTATCTTCATCCGTTAGGCTGAAGTGAATCCAATGGCATTTCAATGGTGTTTCAATGCGTTGGGCTCAATTTAGGATCCGTAGGCCAAGCTTGGAGTCAAGAAACAGGGTTAGATTTTTAAAAAATATCTCAACAATTTGTTCCTCTTTATAAAATCTTACGGTTCTTGCGAAGCGTTAAATAAATTTAAAAGTCTCTGTTGTGAAAACATTCTATTAATTGAACAAATCCGCTCGAAAAATAGAGGAAAAGGGCGCATTGTGCTCAGTTGGCCTAACATTAGATCCAAGCCCTATATTTCAAAAAATGAACAATAACGATCATCGAAAGATTAGCAACAAATATTTGAAAAGTCTTCTGACGATCGCATTACCAAATCCATACATGTCTTGATTCCTTTCAGATTATGAATATATTTAAAAAAAAATACTGCCAGATAAGTTGACATTCTCCGGTTAGGAGCCAAATAGATTGTGATGGAAGAAGTTTGGTGACCTAGTAGCGATCGTTTTTGTCTACTGAGCAGAAGATCATGGATCATAATCCCAGGCTTCTTCTTAGTATTTTAATTTATTTTATGGAAGAATATACCGTGGCCAATTGCCTTTTACAGAGCTGTGCGAAATAAGTTGTATTCTCGGTAAATCATGAGATATGCTTGATCTGGGTTTGGAATCATAGTTAACTGCTTCCGGGGCATTATTTAATTTGAAAAGTCTTATGTCATTGTGCTTAAACGATCATCACTCGCAGCGATTTGAAGTTATTGAAGAGGCTCGACGGTCTAATGGTGACCGTTTTTACTCACTTAGCAGAAGTTAATGGGTTCAATCCAGACCCCTCTACGCTACTGAGTTGATAGGGTTACATTGCTTCCTTTTTTTTTGTTGATTTGTTTTCCGTCGATCTTGTTTTCCGTGCTGAGCACCTATGCTACCGACGCCAGGAAGGCAGCTCCCACACCTGGACCCTACCTATCTGTGAGGTTTGGACCGTATCCCACCTGAATCACCCAACCCAATGGAAGCGCTTTGCCCCACGATGGCGTAACTGCCATACAATGAAACCACTGGAAGCGGCTCCAGTTCTGATGAAGGAGGCTTTTTTGGATAGTGGAAGATAAAGTGTTTATTGTGTTGTACCATTTGACTATAGTTTTAAGATGTATTGTATAGTGACCAAGAATCCTTGGCTCTGCAAAGTTAATTCGTTTGAGTCTTATCAAATAAATTAATAAACAACATTTTTGATGTAACTCAGTTATGTTCCTTTATTTTTTTCTACTACTTTCGATATTTTATCTCTATATATAAATATATATATATATATCAAGCAAACTAATGACAATTTTTGAGGGTGATGATGATTAAATAAATTAACTTGATTCTTCTATTTGTTTGTTGTTCTTCTAGAAGTTCTTTGAGGTTTTAACGTTTTATCCATTTCAACCTTTTTTCCATTCAACCATCTATCCATAGGCCTTTTGTCCACACGACCTTTTGTCTCACAAGCAAAGCTCCACTTGTGCTTGGTAAAACAGAACTGTTGAATAAGTCAAAAAATATAAAATATTAACATCACAGTGTTAACCAACTGTTTGCCAAATCTTAAAAAGGCATAATTAATTTACTCGTACATCGTCCTGGGACTTTCGATGATAAAACGCTTTCATGTCAATCTTTTCATCTTTCAGTGAATTTAAGTCAGCATTCTTCATTAACTTTGCCTTTCTGCTCAATCTTCTCTCTCCACAGGACCAAATGATACACCGATCCAACAACAAAGTCAGCAAGTGAACTCCAACAGTGCTTGCAGCTTAGAGTACCGGCAACTTTTCGAATTTCTTCCGACACAGGCGTAACAAAAAAAAATGCAAAGAAGAATAAGAAAAAGTAAAGTGTGATCAAAGGCTATCGTACCCGCTGACATCATCTGACTAACGACGAGCGGGAGCACGGAAGAGTTGTACCTTGTAAAGCTACCTTTCTCGGTTTTCAGCGTTACCCGAGTAAGTACCGTCTGAACGTACACCACCGACACTCACTTGTGGCAATAAATCGATTTACTTTGAAAAAGACGTCGACGTGGGCCACCCCAGAAGGGAGGGAATCGAAAAAAGTTCGGTAGCAAAAAATTGCAACTTGAAGCCGACCGATCGACCAACCGACGAAACGAACCCCCACTTTGATGAAGGGGAAAAGTGTAACTTTCAACAGTTGAATGAATGAAATAAAAAAAAAGTAAAAAGAAAACAAGAAATAACGAGCAAGTACTTAAATGCGAACCAGAGAACCAGAATCCGTGGAAAAAACAGATACAAGAGAAAGCAATAAACGTAGAATTTCCGCAAAACCAAACGATTTTCCTTCGGTAGTGTACAGCCACTACTCATCGTAAAAGGACGAAAACTTTATGCGAATGAAAAAATTAAAAGAATAAGAAAAGTTGTGTTGTGCATCCCAGCATAGTGCAATACAGCACGACCGGAAAGAAATGAAATATTGAAGGAGAACTACTTATCCGTGTACTGTGTGTGTGTGTGCATGTGTGTTATAGAAGAAGTAAAGAAAGCAGCAACCAGGACAAAATAAACCATTCCCTCACTCCTCACCGTTGGCAGAATCCAGGCGTCTGTGTGTGCGCGCGTCCAAATCCAAACTGGCGAAACCGTACGATTACCATTTTTATGCTGCTGCCACGGTTCAACACTAGCCCGGACCAATGAATGTGGTGCTACTGTTGCAGATTATAATCGGTAAGTGGTATTTCCGAACCGAAAATTGTATGTTCTGAAAAGGGGGTGTGGTGAATCATAAAAGTGCAATGCTTGCGACAAATGAAAACCTTACAACTTAAGGATCCTTGGAAAATTCACAATAATCAATATTACCATCATAGAATAGCAGGATAGGTATTTTTCATAAGATTCAAATTACCCATACTAAGAGATGAACGAGCCCAAGGCTGAAAATATCTATAATAAAGCCAAAAAGAAAATTTTATTTATTAATTTATTTCGTCAACCAACGTAGACTAGTACAATTAATACAGTTTTGTTTTCTTAAATATATATTTATATAAAAAAGTAGTGTCAGCTTTCTTGTCTTTTCTTTTATGAGTTGTTATTTCTTATGGAATAAAAATATTGCTTTAGTTTATGCCGAGACATTGTAAAGTCAATGGTTTCGCAGTGTTTATTGTAAGAGGCCATCATGCGGTTTAATGGCCTGGGCTGGGCTTTTCATGCGATTGAAATTTTGACAATAAATCAAAATTTCAGTCGCATTCTGTCTGTGTGAAGAAATTGTTGGAAATACGTCGGTTGATAAAGTATGGTCATTGTTATTATTAGTTACCTCAGTCTCATGCCGAGCATCGTTATATAGAAATAATGAGTATTCCTCAAGGTGCGTCAGCGGCGTTGAAAATTTACAGGATTGTAAAATTTGAGGGCGGCCTCCCTAGTAGATTGTAGCCGTTGCGTGCGTTCACTGGACAGGAATGTACGGTAGGATTGCAGGTCTGCCAAGGCGTCGTTTCGAGTAATTCCAAGTTCATCATGGACGTCCAGGAAAATTTCGTGCAGGAGATTTCTGTCTTTTGGTAGTCCTTCAGCTGCTAGCATTAGAATAGCACTGGTTTTGGTGATTCCGCGAATACATGTTGATGATGGCTGGTCATGCAGGAAGGAGAGGTAGGTCCGAACAATGTCCATAATTTTCGGGTCCCTTAGACGCGCCTTCAGGAAGCGTTGGTCGCCAGTTACGGACTGTTCAGTAAGTCTCACTATTGGCCGACGCATGGGGCCCAGACGAGGAGGGTGTTCTCGCTCAGTTGGTTTTTCAGTTCGATAAGGGTTAATAGTTTCCCCTTTTTCGAAATTAATGAAATTTAGTCCGCTTTCTTTGGGTGGCCGAGAAAATTGTATTCGTGCAGCAGCCAAAAGTTCTTTATCCAAAGGTAATGCAGTGCTGTTGTAGAGATGGCTGCTTCGGGTCCTGTTGTTGTTGATGTTGTTGTTATTGCTGTTGTTGTTGTTGTTGTTGTTGTTGTTGTTGTTGTTGTTGTTGTTGTTGTTGTTGTTGTTGTTGTTGTTGTTGTTGTTGTTGTTGTTGTTGTTGTTGTTGTTGTTGTTGTTGTTGTTGTTGTTGTTGTTGTTGTTGTTGTTGTTGTTGTTGTTGTTGTTGTTGTTGTTGTTGTTGTTGTTGTTGTTGTTGTTGTTGTTGTTGTTGTTGTTGTTGTTGTTGTTGTTGTTGTTGTTGTTGTTGTTGTTGTTGTTGTTGTTGTTGTTGTTGTTGTTGTTGTTGTTGTTGTTGTTGTTGTTGTTGTTGTTGTTGTTGTTGTTGTTGTTGTTGTTGTTGTTGTTGTTGTTGTTGTTGTTGTTGTTGTTGTTGTTGTTGTTGTTGTTGTTGTTGTTGTTGTTGTTGTTGTTGTTGTTGTTGTTGTTGTTGTTGTTGTTGTTGTTGTTGTTGTTGTTGTTGTTGTTGTTGTTGTTGTTGTTGTTGTTGTTGTTGTTGTTGTTGTTGTTGTTGTTGTTGTTGTTGTTGTTGTTGTTGTTGTTGTTGTTGTTGTTGTTGTTGTTGTTGTTGTTGTTGTTGTTGTTGTTGTTGTTGTTGTTGTTGTTGTTGTTGTTGTTGTTGTTGTTGTTGTTGTTGTTGTTGTTGTTGTTGTTGTTGTTGTTGTTGTTGTTGTTGTTGTTGTTGTTGTTGTTGTTGTTGTTGTTGTTGTTGTTGTTGTTGTTGTTGTTGTTGTTGTTGTTGTTGTTGTTGTTGTTGTTGTTGTTGTTGTTGTTGTTGTTGTTGTTGTTGTTGTTGTTGTTGTTGTTGTTGTTGTTGTTGTTGTTGTTGTTGTTGTTGTTGTTGTTGTTGTTGTTGTTGTTGTTGTTGTTGTTGTTGTTGTTGTTGTTGTTGTTGTTGTTGTTGTTGTTGTTGTTGTTGTTGTTGTTGTTGTTGTTGTTGTTGTTGTTGTTGTTGTTGTTGTTGTTGTTGTTGTTGTTGTTGTTGTTGTTGTTGTTGTTGTTGTTGTTGTTGTTGTTGTTGTTGTTGTTGTTGTTGTTGTTGTTGTTGTTGTTGTTGTTGTTGTTGTTGTTGTTGTTGTTGTTGTTGTTGTTGTTGTTGTTGTTGTTGTTGTTGTTGTTGTTGTTGTTGTTGTTGTTGTTGTTGTTGTTGTTGTTGTTGTTGTTGTTGTTGTTGTTGTTGTTGTTGTTGTTGTTGTTGTTGTTGTTGTTGTTGTTGTTGTTGTTGTTGTTGTTGTTGTTGTTGTTGTTGTTGTTGTTGTTGTTGTTGTTGTTGTTGTTGTTGTTGTTGTTGTTGTTGTTGTTGTTGTTGTTGTTGTTGTTGTTGTTGTTGTTGTTGTTGTTGTTGTTGTTGTTGTTGTTGTTGTCGTCGTTGTTATTGTTGCAATTTCCAATAGTGTAGTTGTTACTGCCGCTGTTTTTGTTGGTATTGTTGTGGGGGTTGTTACCTGGTTTCTTTTCTCGTTTTTTGCGCCTAAGTCTGGCTTTTTCCTCGTTTTTTTCCTGGAGACGGCGGGAATGTTGCTTGGCGTCATATTCTGTCCAGTCACGCTTCCATACTTTTTTATTTCCCAAGATTCGCCAGCTGGGGGCTGGTTCGTCAATTGTGTAATTCTTGGAAATGATGACGGCTGGTGTTGAAAGAGATTTTGCCATTTCTTCTATGGGAGATTTTATTTCACATGCTAGAGTACTTTGGGAGTCCGCTAACTCATTCTTGAGTGTGGAAATTATTGCAGGTAGTTGGTTAATTGAGTGCTTTGTTGTTGTTGTTATTGCCGCTACTGCTGCTGTTGCCGCTGATTTGGCTGCCGCTTTTACAGCTGTGCAGGTGTCCACCGAAGGTGTGTCCAGAATTGATGAAATTGCATTTTTCATTTCAACAGCAATAAGTTTGTTGCTGCTGGTGACGGTCGACATGCTACGCTTAATATTGTCAAGCATTTCTTCAATGTGTTCAAGCACTGCGTCATGCGTCGCACTGAGGTTTTTGAAGTTAGTAAGCAATTTGTGATTTGCTTCCAAAGTATTGCCAATGTTTTCTTTGATGCCATTCAATGTTGTAGACAGTTCCTTCAGATTAAGTTCATTTATGAACTTATCCTGGCAGTCTTGGCACAAAGGCAGCATGAAGGTCCGAAGAATGTCTTCATGATTTCGCTGTGCACCAACACAACCTGCGTGAAAGGTCCGGTTGCAGGTGCCATGGCAGCGCCATAGAAAGCTATTGTCTTTTTGCACGCAATTCACTATTCCGCACTTCATTGCACTCGCGTCGGATGATAAAAAAAAACTTTTAAAATAAACACGGAGTTCGCGCGGGTCAGTTTTTAAAATATGATAAAAAATTGTTTGGATATTTAAAGTATATACAAGAGCGCTGCTAAAGCGCGTCCGAACGCAAAGGTGGTTCGTTATGGAATCCAATAACGATCTCCGAAACATTTTCTGTTCGGGAAATACAAACACTACGACCAGTAATTTGATCTATTGTAGTATATTCCGTGTCCTGAGTTGTATTACTCCATCACTATTGAGAAATGATTAAGTATTCTGTTTTGATACAGATGTTATTCTTGCCTTCATCGTAAGGAATCGATTCTAACCGCTATTTATACCCTGCAAAGAATGAGAGCACTTACCTACCTACCTAACTACGAGTCAAACTTAACTAACGTGCCAGATCACGTATGATCTGAAGATCTGATCTCAGACAGGTGTCTCTGAATCTTTCCAAGGAGACCGTTCGTCGCTCTTCGAGAGGCTGAAGGCCAGCCAGGCGGTGAACCTCAGAATTTCGGGTCCATGGAGGACTGTTTAGGATCATCCTAAGGATCTTGTTCTGGATCCTTTGGAGTTTGAGGTGATGGCACATAGCACAGCTCTCCCAGGTTGGCGTTCCGTACTCAATGGCGTTCCGTACTCAATGGTCAATTTTTAAGGGAAAGGGTGGACTTTCTGTTGATAAGTGGGTAGAGCGACCTAATCAAGATGTTGCACTTGGTGGATGTTTTGTCCACATGGGAGTGTCAAGAGTGAGACCAAGGTAGACGACTTCACTCGACCATTCAATGGGAGTGTTATCAAGGTGGACTTTTGAGTTACCAGGCGGAACAAGCCGAGGTGAGTTGATGTGCGGAAATAGTATGGTCTGTGTTTTAGCTGCATTGATACAAATCTTCCAGCTTTTGAAATAGTCGGACAGAACATCTAGGCCTGATTGGAGTTTTCTTGTCAGAGCACGGATCACTCGACCCTTATAGATGATGGCAGTGTCATCCGCAAACATTGACAAAATACCACCACCCGGAAGGGGAGGAACATCTGACGTGAAGATGTTGAAGAGAATGGGACCAAGGAGGCTACCCTGGGGAACCACAGCATCAGTGTTGACCGTATCAGAAGGAGAATTGTTCAAGAAGACCTGGAATGATCTGCCCGACAAGTAGTTTTTCAGAGTTGGTTGGAAATGCTAACATGAAGCTTTAGTGTGATGATTTATTAGCTAGAGAATGATCTTTAGAAGAGGGAAGGTGGATAGTTCCGTTAGAGTACGGCAGTATGAAAATTGAATAGAAGTTGAAAATGAGCGAAGGGCCATTAAAGCGACAGTTTTCAAGATGGAGGCACATTTTTGCCTAGCCCGTACTATGTACGCGGGGACTTGAAGTATGTCTCCAAGTCCACAGGCAAAAATGTGCGTCCCTCTTGTTGCTCATAAACTGACTGCGGCTGTGGAA